CTGATAACTTTTTGATTTGATCTCATGTATAAGTATAAGAATAAAATATTTTGTTACTATTTAATTTTAAACTCATTGTATCAGAAGTTGCTTTTTTTTATTTCGATCTCGATTATAATTTTATTATAATAATAAATACTTAAGCTTAAGCTTCTACTGAGGTTATAGGTACCAAGTTAATTCGTTTACATTTTTTGATTATTTAACTCAATAAAAATTATAAGAATTAAAATTGTTTTTTATTAATTTTCACTTTTATAAATAATACATACCAAAACCAAACAAACACATCCACTCCGACAGTAAATAATTTTTTTGTAAGGATGGCGCCCAGTTTGAGCATGACAAGTACAGAATTCCATTTTCCACTGCAATGGAAATAGTGGAACAAATGTTTCCTCCAAATTATTACTTATTTCTATGGCGGTTAAAAAACGCAGTTGTCTTATTTTAAATAAATTTCTAAGAAGATATTGAGAATTTAATCTATAGAATAAAATAAAAACATAACTTCTCGTTAATTATAAAAAAAATGGATGCGTGTAACTTATGTATGCGCGTGAGAAGTTATACTTCTTTAGCATCATTAAAAATATTTTTTAATTGCATGCAAATAATTAATAATTACAATAAAATAATAAAAGGACTGGAAAAGGATAGTTAACACAATCAATTAAGTTCAGTTTTAATTTGAAAAATTAAATAAATATTCAAAATATGGATTATTAACCACTAAGTGGTTAATAATCTACCATTATTAGACACTAACATTCATAACGCGCCCGCGGCCAACTTCATGGTGTTACTATTGTGTTACAGTGATGCGCGCGCATCTCGAAATTTCACTCACATGATTTTTTCATAACGCGCCCGCGGCCAACCTCATGCTGTTACTTTTGGGTTACAGTGATGCGCGCGCATCTAAAAATTTCACTCTCATCATTTTTTCATAACGTGCCTAAAGAAGTATAACTTCAAAAATAAATAGAGAAAAAATTAGGCATCTTCCATTTCTACTACTCGTGGTGACCTACACGAATGATTTTCTGATAGATTTTTATTCCCTTCTCATCGTATTTATTCCTTATATTTAGCCTTTGTTTTTAGTTCATCCTTTCAATCACGCAGTAACAAAATATGTAAGCCCAGTGCATGATCTGCGTAGATAAATAATCATTGACGTGTTCAGATATTTTTGAAAAGTTGTATGTTCAGATATTATTGACAGGCATCTGCTCAGATATTATTGAAGTAATGAATGTTCGGATATTTATGGTCACTTGTAGCGTATAGAACTTAATGAAATTTTAACTGTTCAGATGTATTTGGTCACCTTGTATGCTCAGATATATCTGATGGCGACTGTACCATAAATTGTGCGTGTTAATTCTTTTACAAAATATTCACCTAATGGTAGGCCTCGTGTATTAGTCACTTTAGATTCATTTGTTACATTTATTTTATATTGTATTTTTAAGCCATAATGGTCAGATGTAATACTATTAAAAATGGACTTATTATCAGGAGTACTATCTGTAAATACGTTATCCAAACAAGTTGCTGAATGTGATGTCACCCTAGTAGGCTCAAAAAATTGATGGATCAAATTAAAACATTTAAATAATGATATTATACGTACTGACATTGAATTTTGTTCAAGAATATTAATATTAAAGTCACCGCAAACAACCAAAAACTTATTTTTTGACTTTAACTTTTTCAGTACATCCTCCATCACAGATTCAAAAATGTTAAAGTTACCTAGAGGGGGTCGGTATACGCATACTATTATCATCTCATTTAGTTCCACACAAGATAGCTCAATGCTACGTTCAATTGAAAGGCCAGCTATATCCTTTCTATCCTTACATTTAATATTTTTGCTAACAAAAATCAACGAGCCGCCGTGGATGGCTGTCCTACGAACATAAGCACTCAACAATTGAAAGTTGTTTATGTGATACGACATTTCACAAAGCTTGAGCCAGTGTTCTGTTAAACATATAATGTGTATGTCCTCACTTTTTGAATACAATTCTAATTCTAGGTCTTTGCCAGCCAAACCTTGTATATTTTGATGAATAATATTAATAACTCTTTTATTAGGTTTGGCTGTTGTCTTTAAGCTCAGTTTAAAACTGGGCTGGTTAAGCTATTAATAGAGTTAATATTTCTAGAAATACTAACAGTATTTTGTTGAATAGAGTTAGTTATACCACGTATAACCGTATTTTGTATATAAAAAGCTAACAAATTAGCTATCTGGGTCCTAAATTTCTTTGCGAGATACATAGTATCTGTAGTCAACTTAAAATATCCAATATATTTATTTATATCGAAATATAAAAATACGTCACTATGACTATTAATTAAATTATAAAGACTTAAATTTAAATTAAAGATGCGCTTATTCTGTTCCCTAGATAAGTTATGTGCATATGGGAAAGCGCTAATTATTATTTTACAATTAGATTCAGATTGAATTTTCAATAAGTGCTCAACACTTTTTGTAATGTCCCGTATTGATAATCTGGAACTGTCACCACACAAAAGCAGTAGGTTAGTATAACTATCCACATTATGGTGGGTCAAGTTATTTACAATTTCATGAAATGATTTTCCAGGAGTACATATATTTATAATGTTTTCATCACTGGAATTTTTAATTAATAGTCCTAGCCCCTGACCTAACTTGTCTGAGAATATCATTGTTTTATTTTTATTCAAGTTTGAGTTTTCAGAAAGCGCTGGCTTGAAAGGAGAATTATTATACGTTGTACCAATTTTTTGTATATAGACCGATGAATGACCAGAAATTTGGGAAACTTGATTATTATCTGTATTTACATTTCCTTCTAATGATAATGTCAATGATGATTGATTTGAAGAACCAATCAATTGACTTTTAATCAAGGAGTCATAACGTTCTGCGTTGAAATTGCACAGTTCAACTAATTCTGTTGCAGATTTTATGTGCTCAGTTATTTGACTTTGTGCACTAGCATATTTATGTTTCATTGATTCTAACGAATCATGTAAATTTTGAATTTCTAATAGTAATTTCTTTGTATCCCGGTCATACATCTGCCTACTTTCATGTAATTTTGTATTATATATGTCAATGGAGTCCATCAGGTTAAGTTTTTCCTTTCTAAGAGCTATATTTTTATAAAAACAATTGTTTTTTTTGATAAGTTTCTCAGTTTTCTTTATGAATTTACTAACTCTGATATATTTTTTTAATTTTTTTACACTTGTTATACTATTATGTGAAACCTTAGTACTAGCTACAGGCTCTAAATTTAAGTTCATGTTTATGGGCAAGTTTAAGGGTCCTCCGGGAGATGCCATTAGTTCTTCAAAGAGGCTTTGCGTGTGTGCAGTTTCTTGAAGTTGCTGAGCTTCTATGGTATAGCATCGATCATGTAATAAGTCCCACTATCGCACATCATCTGAATTTTTATTCCATATTTTGCGGGTTTATTTGGAATGTATATACGAAATTTGCATCTGCCTCGAAAACCCAGTAATTGCTCTTCTATCGTAACATTAGTCCCTGGAGTATAATTATTGCGACATTGTGATATAAGCATATCCCAAATAACTCTAATTGGTGTAAATAGATCGCTCTGGGATCTTTGCAATCGCAAATCTCTATCATCAAATCGTAAACATCTCACGAGAAAATTAAATCTTTCGCGGCTCATTGCAGCGACATATACAGATCCGCAATAATTCGAATTAAATAACTCATCTGAGGTTAAATGGTTATCTTTTAGAGCAGCACTTAGAATAAGAACCCCTACTAGCGCCTTTATTTCCAAAATATTTGTATCGCCTTGTGTTGATGTCACAGTCTTATACATGGCTCTTTTCACAGATATTTCGACATTTGTCCATTTCACAATTTCTTCAAAAATTTCGTTGGTAAAAAACTTTTCGAAACAAGATACTTCACCCGCTAATCCCCTACAAGAACGGGTAGGTCCTCTTGAAGTACGCACAATGTTCCTTACCGAAATTCTAGTCGAAGTGCTCCCTTTAGTCGTAGCAACCGGTTAAACATACCAAACATACCGGTTCTTACCTCGTACGTTGCTTTTAGGAAGTTGTATGATGCTGCTTTGCGTGGTTTCTGAAGGAGTGGTATTTGAAGTATCACATCGAATTGGCGAATCGCAGTCCATGTCTGAAGATAAGTCTGGTGGTGGGCTTACATACCCTTCCTCGGAATCTGATGGTTCATAATTTTCATCACTTTGCACATCATCTTCCACCACAAAGTCTTCGGTCTCACTGGCAGAACTATCACCCAGAGCATCGTTACTTAGTTCTTGTTGTAGAAGATTTATTGTTTCATCTTCTTTTAACGAAGACATGATGTAAATCTAAAAAGAATAACAAATTCATTTAAACATAAACACGTACACTCGAATCAAATAACTGACGGTAAAGCTAACCACCCGTCGAAACGACGGGTAAAGCTCAAGTATCTCAAAAACTATGACTCTTACCTGTTCACTGCGTGCGCCACTGCAACGGGCTCCCCGGCGACTGAATTATCTAGCCGAGACAACACGTTCGGACGCGGCCTTAAAAAGAGACAGCGATATTTCTTTGCACTGCCCGTCGAATCGAAGGAGGTTAGCTATCTAGGGTTAAAAAAACCTTATAATGTCACCATTTTATGAAATGTCATTTTATATTTGCAAACGTTACAAGGCAAAATATTAATAAATATCATTTCTAAACAATTAAAGAAATATCTTTATTTTTCATTTAAATTGTTTCGTATCAACAATAAATAAACTTATAATACAAAAATACCAGATTTATTCTAGATACTGTACGAATCTTACGATTCGTTTGAGTATATCGAATTTATGAAAACTTTTTCCGTCATATTGGAAAAAGTTATCATAAATTCTTCTTATCTCTCTATATCTTATATTAAAGATAACCAGACAAAAAAATAATATATATATATATGTCCATTTCAGCTCCTTTCCCATGTAGCAAACCGAATGAAGTTTACGACAAGTGCCCACAGGAATCCCAGTGCCCCCGAGAAACATGCGACGATTATTTGGAGAACTCGCCTTGCGCTAAACACCGCTTGGGCATCTCTGTACCTTGCAAGCCAGCATGTAAATGCAAGAAAGGCTATTATAAAGATAGCAAAGGAAATTGTGTCACTCCTCAAAAGTGCGAAGGTATTGCAATTTATCTAATAAAGGCGCAGCAACTGAGCCAAATAATATTTTCTCTATTTGCACATTTAATTTTAGACTTACCAAGTTTAGAAACAACAAGACAAACCCGTAAGAAAATTATGCTATTTTATTTCAGAGCTTGCCTGCAAACCAAACGAAGTATTTTCCAGCTGCTCTAATGCAATATGTCGTGCGCAAGATTGCAAGGATAAAGGGAAGCCCGTGCCTTGTCCGAAGTTGAAGCCGGGAGCTTGCATCCCTGGTTGTGTCTGTCGTGAGAATTATTTGAAGAAGAACGGTGAATGCGTACCAGAGGATCAGTGTGTAGACAGTGAGTCTTCATGTTCAGAACCTTAGCTTACTTTTTTGTAATAAAATGATTGCATTTGAACTGTGACTATTTATAAAACTGTTCAGGCGTAGTTACCTACCTACTTTCCAAAAATAAAGAAATAGTATTTTCTTATTTCTTTTTTTCCTACCACCCATCTCAGCAACTTCTGTTCAGTTGTATGTCAAAAGGTCGTAGGTAACTTCATTTACAGTGAAGTTCTATGATATGGGACCCATTCTCTCGAAATGTGGTTTAAGTATCTTGAATATCCCATTGTAATAAGGTTTAAAACTCCACATCATTTAGTGCTGAGAGGTAATAAATAAAAATATTTTTCAATTAACTGACATTTCTGAATATGTACCTTTTTCTAAGGGGGCGTCTCTTGTTTTTTTTATGAACATTATGACAGTGAATGGCATTGAAATCCAATAGAAAGAATAGAAAGAGAATGTTATCAAATCATATGTTTTCTTAAAAACTTTATACAATTTTCAAAAATAAATCATCTGTACTAATATTGCAAAGACAAATACTTTATTTGATTGTTTGGTTGAACGCACTAATCACAGGAACTACTGATTCAAATTGATTTTGTGATCGATAGCCTATCGAGGAAGGTTTATAGGCTTTATAACATCATGATAAGACTAATAATATGAGTGGAGCATCAACGAACATTTTGCAAAACCGGGAAAAAATATTCCTTTTCAGAGCTTTCGTTGCGTGCGCTGCGTTAACGTTTAAAGTGTCACAAAATTATGTATGAAGAAATGATTCTACTTTAAAAATACTAGAAAAGGTCCGCGACAGCATTTTTCAATCTTTTAAGGTTGACTCACTATAAATTTTTTTCGTAATCAAAGTTGTTCTAAAATAATGCATTATCTGCGAAGGTGTTTTTGTAAACATGATGATTTCCTTATCAAAATTAACACATGATTTTATTTCCTGTCCCCTCTTCAATTCTATGCGAAACAGAAGCAGCACGAAAGCAACTAAATATATGTAATAACATGCAGCGAGTACCAGGCGAACAGGAGCAATAAGCGGCAGTTCAACAATAGTGACAGCATATACATAGATACACTGTGCGGCCCAGCCAGCGCAAGAAGCCAAGCCAATTAGGTCCATCACTACTCCAAGATCCGTTCCATTCAAATTGATTTTGCCGTTTGCGCACTCATTTATCGCAATCACTTTACAAAGAACACCACCAACCACGGCAACGGCTAAGTCTGATTCTGATCTACACTTAAAATCTTCAGTCTCCGAATCTACAGAAAAAAATATTTTAAACTTACTCGGAAAACACGCAGAACATAAGACAATGACAGTTATGAATCAAACCCGAGCTCTAAGCATACCTTAACTGAAATAAATAAACATGTTTCTGTTTTCGAAGCGAAATTAAACAAATAAAGGGCCATTAAATATTTCTTTTGCTATTTTAAGTGCTCAGTCCTTGTCTATACAGGTTTCTATTAATTTTCTCTATAATAAATATGATCAACTGCTTGATCGTGTTGTTTCGACGAAGCGGGAGAATCTAGAACTTAAGATGAAATTATGTCAAATGGTATTAATGATTCAAATGGAATTAAAATCGACTCTTTTGAGCGTCATATGCGATGATAGAAATTAATAACTTACCTGCCACCGTAAAAGATACGAAAACGGAATTAATTGATAAAGTGTGCAAAATTAGCCCCATTCTAAAGTTGTAGATCGGACCTTCAAGAATATCTAAAGATTGAAACCCAAATCAAACAAGCTTTATTCGGGTACTGTTATAGTATATTTTTTTCTTCTTTTTGAAAGAGAACATAATTTCAGCTGTGAAAACCCATAATAAGGAAAATAAAAACGTGAAACACTCAACAGCCTGCATACATAACTCAGGCACTCCAGTACCGATTTACATAACTAAATCTCTTACTGACTACGGGAGACAGCTGTACTATCTTGGACGTAAGTCGGTAAAGGATGGCCTATGCGAAAGTTGTTGGTCAAAGTACGGTACAGTTTATATTTAAAAACACAGTGGGTCAACACCAAGTAATAGTAAAAGCATAACTTCAGAGATCGACCCCAAAAACACTCTCACTCCAATTCAGAGTTAATTTCCATAATAGTGTCGAATTATATTTACATAAGGAAGCTTGAATAGGAGTGTTTTTGGGGTCGATCTCTGAAGTTATGTTTTTACTATTACTTTGGTGTTGACCCACTGTGTTTTTAAATATAAACTATACCGTACTTTGACCAACAACTTTCGCATAGGCCATCCTTTACCGACTTACGTCCAAGATAGTACAGATGTCTCCCGTATTCAGTAAGAGATTCAGTTATGTAAATCGGTACTGGGGTGCCTGAGTTATTATCAATGCAGGCTATGGAGTGTTTCGCGTTTTTATTTTCCTTATTATGGGGTTTCCCAGCTGAGATTAAGTTCTCTTTCATAAAAGAAGAAAAAAAAACTGCTATAACAGTACCCGAAGAAAGCTGGTTTGATTTGGGTTTCATTCTAAAGATATTCTTGACGGTCCGATCTACAAATTTAGAGTGGAGATAATTTTGCACACTTTATCAATTAATTCCGTTTTCGTTTCTTTTACGGTGGCAGGTAAGTTATTAATTTCTATCATCGTTGATGGCATATGACGCTCAAAAGAGTCGATTTTAATTCCATTTGAATCATTATTACCATTTGACATAATTTCTTCTTAAGTTCTAGATTCTCCTGCTTCGTCGAAACACCACGATCAAGCAGTTGATCATATTTATTATAGAGAAAATTAAAAGAAAACTGTATAGTCAAGGACTGCGCACTTAAAGTAGCAAAAGAAATATTTAATTGCCCAAATATATTGGACAACAAATAAATCTGGTCACTGCTACCTGGGAACACTGGTTTGATTTTCTCAAAAAGTTTAAATCTTACAACTATCAAAGTTACACCTACGGAAAATGCGTTTCATGATGATTAAAATGAACAGAAATTAATTTAAATTAATATTTTTTTATGTGTTTCTTAAAAGTTTTCCAAAGAAGAGTCGTTTACAATTATGTTAATCGGTAGTAAAAAAAACGTAGCAAGAGATCACACGTTTGAGAAAAGTATAGACAAAAACTAAAGAAATGATAAGCAGTATCAGACTATCTTCATTTTATAAAAAAAGAATGTTAATCGCAACTTTATTCAAAAATAAGTCAATCGTTTCGTTCAAAGATTATTTTCATGCTTGCTTTCACAATAAGTTAACAGTACTTTTGTATAAAATTTTATTCATTTTAATCAATATAAAACACACTTTCTGTAGGTATAACTTTGATAGTAGTAACTTTTAAACTTTTTGAGAAAATGGAATCTGAGTTCTAGGTACAAGCGGGTGACCCAGTTTCTTTGCGATCGCTTGTACACAATAAATACTCATTTTTTATATAATTTCTCTGTACGCAGATGAAAAGGAATGCGGTTGTGGTCAAAAACCACAACAACCTTCAAATAACACCTGTGGTAATGTGGAAAACCTAAAACTGGCTCTCACACATGGAAGCAACATGTTTACTATAAATTTCTTATACGTAAGCACTTACTTATTCCATCATTATTATAAATTTCAATTTAAAATGGTTATAATTTGTAAATTTATCTGAATGAATGCTAGGTGGCTTAAGAATACTACTTATATATTTGGACGAATCGGCAGTACTATGCAATAAAAAAATACAGAATAGCACTGCTGTTTGTGTTTGTTTGACATTATTGGCTTATTCGAATAAGGAAGTTTATTAATTTTTGATTATCATCATTTATTTTATTGTATTCATACAAACAATGAATTTTAGCAACAAGTAAAAGCAAACCCTGGAAAAAGTGTTATCTCATCACCGACTTCAGCTTTGCCTTGTTTGGCAATATTAGCTTTAAAGGCTGATGGACCGACGTTTACAGAAATAGCGAAAGTTATGAACCTAACGACTAAGGAACAGGTGACATTAAAAAAAAATGTTGTAACTTAACTTCACCAATAGTTAAATTTGTAAATATACAAATAAAATTTAATTTTTGCAGATTCGTTGCGTCTTTAAATCATTTCTAGATTCGTTCCAGACAGCTGAAGGCACACAACTTGATCTTGCCAACAAAATTTATGTATCAGAAAATTATAAACTAAACAGTTCTTTCGAACAAGATACTAAGAATATAATCAATGCTGAAGTAGAGAGTGCCAATTTCAGTGAACCTGTTAAAGCTGCTGCTAACGCAAACAAATGGGTATGTTCATTGTAGAATCTCTTAATATTAATTTATTATATTTATTCACTACTAAAATTTAATCTAATGAGATTAATTAATCAGGTTTCAGATCAAACTAAAGGCAAAATCAAGGACCTCATATCACCTAGTATGTTAGATTCATTGACAAGGTTAATACTACTAAGTGCCTGTTACTTCAAGGTAAGACCTCAAAAAAAATATACTCATATGGATAACATCTCATTGAGAAAATGATATTATCCTGCGAATAAATTTATTACAGGGAACGTGGAAGACTAAATTTAATCCTAATAATACGAAGTCAACAGACTTTTATGTTAATCCAAGCAAGACCATAAAAGTTGACATGATGCAGCTAAAAACAAAAATGAAATATTCTAACAACAAAGATCTAGATGCCCAGGTAAGACATAATTAGGATTTAATTTTAAATTACCTGATAATGATGAAATATGAAGCAATGAAGTTCATAATAATTATCTGCTTATAAATTAGTCAGAGTTCTAATTGTGTTTATTTTCCAGCTTATTGAATTACCTTATATGGATTTAAACGTCACTCTTTTGGTAGTTGTTCCCAATCAAAAGTTTAGTTCATCGGATCTATTAGTTAAAATGCAAGACCCAACAATTCTCAATACTGCCATGAATAACTTATATGAAGAAACCGTCACTTTATATTTGCCAAAAATAGACGTGTCCTCAAGTACCGATCTGAAAGAAATATTGAAATCAGTAAGTTGGGATGAGTTTTTTTTTATTGCTAGCTTATAAAAATAAGTTTTACTTTGTGTATTGTTATATGTCAACCCGTGCTATAAGGTTAAGAACTTAAGACCACAACTCGTGTAAATTGTAGATAAAACACAAAACCAAATTCCAGGAAGCGATTTGTGCGCGCAGAGCGCGCGGTTGTTTCCGGCACCTTCTGCGGGCGCACGCAGAACACGGTCATTAAAAGACGCGGCCGTGGAAATTTGTAATCTCGTGAATTTTGAAATTAAATAGTATACTTAGCACGAACCAATATTGAATTCGAATATTTTACGAGTGCGAAATGTCACTGTCAAATGTGTACTGATTTTTAGTTCTCGTTACGTACTTGCATAGCAGAGCGCCATAGCAGACTATGGCGCTGATGTTCAAGTTTTTTTTGTTTTCAAGGAATTTTATCGTCTCTTTAACAAGTCCAAAGTTGAACAAAACTGTAGTAGTAAAATAGACGATTTCTTGATTTGAATATTTGAACTTCTTCCATTTCAGATAGGAGTAAAAACTATTTTCGATGATAGCGCCGCCGAACTAAGGGGACTGATTGTACCAGACGAAGACTTGTACGTATCAAAAGCTGTACAGAAAGCTACTATCACGATCAATGAAGAGGGCTCAGTAGCTGCCGCAGCGAATGGTATTAAATCATTGACTGAATATTCTTCTAGAGAACATATATATAATCTTTTATACCCTCTGACTTTAAGCGTTATTGCTCATAACAAAAACTTAAGCAAAGACAGACTTTAAATTCAATTCATAAAGTCGTCTCATGTAGTTATTTTATTTTTTCATATAGACCTGAACAGATACAACTATACGCTGCTATAAACAGCTAGTCAAATTGAATATCTAGTACCTTTGTACGCTTAATGGATACCCCTTAAGTACCTTCACGATACTCAATCAAAAAGCGATCTAATACCAAATGCAACCTGCCAACACGCCACTAATACTTTTTGGTTGGGTAATACATAAACACATACTCTAGCCAATGACTTGATTATAGTATGAGTGTACCGACCCCCTATAGGTAACTTTGGTCACCAAATAACTTCTAGGTTGTATGTGGGGATTTCAATATTAACAAAATTATTATTAATTTTCTTGAAAATAATGCAATGTTAGTTCGCATAATATCACTTTTCAAATGTTTTAATTTGATCTATAATTTTTTTGAGCCTACTAGAGTAACGTCTCATTAAGCCACATGTTTGGATAATATATTTACAGACTATAATCCAGCTAGTAAATAAATTATTAATAATATAACATCTCATCACTATGGCCTAAAAATAACATACTCGTATAATATCAGGTCACTAGTTTGCCTAAGTTAAGGCCAGTAACTAAAAAGCGTGTAGAAAATTTGAAGTTAAATATTAATGATAAGATTTTTCTAATGCCATAGACACGATGATCCTAATATTCTTTATTGCTATCTTTTCCATTTAATTAAAAATGAAGTCGATAAGGTATTTCTACTAAAGACTACCAAATTTTCGCAGAATTTGGAATTCTGTGACTTCGTTACGACTGATAGTTATAAATCTAGAAACAAACTTTATAAATTGTACTACTTAAAGGAATACAAAAGTTCTCAAGGTTTCGTTGATAACGTTAAACATTACGCAAATCTTTCTAAAAGGTTTGTGCTACAGCTAAATCAAATTACATTAAAAAATAAAATCATGACTTCTAATAATAAAATCAAAAGTACTTGGAATATTATAAATCGTAAAACGGGTAAACAAAAAAAAGTGATGAAGGTATCTCACTTAAAGTTGATTATATTGAAATAAAATATAAAGAACAGATTGCAAATATTTTTGATTATTACTTTGTTAACATACCACTAACAACAACTTCTAATTTGAATTCATCACCGACGTCTGCTTAGACTTTGCTCGAGACGTGTGTGCCTCGGTGTGATTCCCCGTTTACATTTAGCCATGTTAAATTAATGGATATTATCAAAAGTTTTAAATCACTTTTAAAGAAAAATACATATGATTTATGGGTAATATCTATAAATATTGTTAATGGCATAATAACAGTTATCTCCTAATCTTGCAGATATATTTAATAATTTTATTGATCAGAAAGTATTCAAGAATACATGAAATATAGTAAAGTTATGCCTCTTTTTTAAATCTGAAAATAGAGAAGATCCTGGTAATTACAGACTTATAGCATTATAGCCGGGAATAAGTAAAATTTTGGAAAAAAAAATTAGATCAATTAATGTCACATTTAAATTTGAATAAACTCTTACATACGAATCAATTTGGCTTTACTAGAGGTAGATCTGATGCGGGTATTGCACTTATTAGGCATATATTGGAAGCTTGGGAGGAGTTGCAGAATGTTTTTGGAGTATTCTGTGACTTGTCCAAGGCTTTGAGTGCGTTGAGCATCAGACGCTGGTGATGAAGTTGAGTCACATGGAGCCAAAGGCGCAGCCCAAAAATTACTATTGTCATATCCCAGTTCTAGAGTAAGTCATCTGGATCTCATGTGTATCAATGGGCATTCCCCAGGGTTCTATTTTGGATCCGTTTCCTATTTTTACTGTACGATTTGCATTTTTTTGTGGATAAATTCTGTGAGATTATATTGCTTGCTGATGACACATCATTATTATTCAAGGTTGACAGGTCCAAGAATAGCTTTGACAATGTAAATGATGCTCTCTCACAAGTATAGCACTGGTAAAATGTAAATAATTTAAAGCTAATGCTAATAAAACTAAATGCATAAAATTCACTATATCACATGTTAGAAACGAACGAGTTGAAATTAAATTAAACAATGCAAAGCTAGATTTAATTGAATCAAAGTTATTCTTAGGTATACTAACAGCTAACAATTAACTCAAAATTTCAGTGGTATACTCATATTTTACTTTTAGCTGGTAAACTATAAACTTTAAGCTATAAAATAAGCTGGAAACTCGTGTACAGCTTTTGACGTTCAAAAAATTGTCTCAAAAGTCTCATATTATCTCATGTCTGCGTCGTAAGTTATTCGAGGTTCAAAGGTCAAGAAAATTTTTTGCAATTATCTCCGTTTTTATGATTCCAATAACTTCAACACCTATAATGAAAATTAAATATAAAAAAAATTGCCACAACTTTTGTCTCAATTTTTATATACGCTCAACCCTTTTCGAGATAGAGGGCGGAGAGCACCCAGCGCTCAGGCATATATACTGTAATACAAGGTCAACAGTGAATCTCGGTGAATAATACAGTTACTAAATTATTAATACATTTTATTAAATGATGTTTTCTAAATAGAAAAAGTATTAAGTATTTGCTCTTTAAATTTTAAAGACGGGCTGGAAGACTGTGTCGGGTAACCAAAATGAAAATGAAAACAAAATGTAACTAAATACCCCTCTGTTCATTTACATTTAGTCGTTAACCCGAATTCCATTGGCACTCGTTTTCAGGTCAACGACTAAGTGTAATCGCGCCATTTTTTCCTGTTACGTGAATAACTCACATTGAAAACACTGTCATAACGCGACATTAAAAAAAATATCAAGGTTTTATGCTCAGAACAAGAACTACAGCATAGAAGTAATGCTGTGACGTTTGAGCGTACACTCCCATAGACAATAGATTAATGAAAGGATTTGTAAACAAAGTATTACCAGCAGTGCTATTCATTAAAATTTTCATGGGCGGATCCGATGTGGAATCTATATGGATTTTTTTTAAAGAATAGCACTGCTGAAATGAAACAAGTTTTGAACGGGTATAAATGATTTTTAATACTTTTTACAGTACTTTTGACATATCGCATTCTTTTCAGGATGCGTCCTCAGACATACGAAACGGTAAAAGCACTGTAGAAAAGTATTAAAATCACATTTATATCCGTCATAAACTTCTTTCATTAAATGAGTGGTGGACGTGTTGGCAGGTTGAATTTGACATTGACCTTACCCAACCAAAAAGTATTAGCGGCGTGTTGGTAGCTTGAATATGTCACTAGATCGCTTTTTAATTCGGTATCGTTAAAGTACAATTATTATTGTTTCATCTTTTTGGGGCTATACAATCCCAGAAAAACTAGTAGTCACTGCGATTTAAAAGATCTATTGAGCCTCGCTGCCCAATTTAAGTATCATTTTTAGCCCGACAGCTTCCAAGAAGCTCAAAACAATCCTAGCTTTAAAAGATTTCATTTCTTCTGGGCGTATTATTATTTCTTCCCACATGCACACTACGTTAATGGATAAGAGGCCCAAATTCATATTAAAGGTTTTTTGTTTTTCACGTTCCTGAGTAACTGACATAGTTCTATTCTAGTTAAACTCTAGTAAAGTTCTATTAACTCAGCAGTCCGTTTTTTTCGAGTAACCTTCTATTAGTGATGGTTGGTTTAACCAGTAGTTTTTCGATTCGCCTAGAAGATCATCCTAAAGAATTTGCATAACAATTAAATTTTAAATTAAGAATAGCTTTCAACTCAGATTATTCAGTCATCGTTAAGGTAACCAAGGTATCAAATTAGATGTAAGAAGCCATATAAAGATATCCCATTTGAAGTTTGTATAGCGGTACACGCGGTACGCAGGCTTATATAGGGTGAAATTGAATGTTTTAATGAAACTTCGTGGGATTGTTGGGTTACATTGTATATAAAGTATCTCTGATTTTTTTGGATTTACTTAAGATTAAGGTAACTGTATGAGTTAAATTTAATTTCTAAATTCCGCCACAGATTCTGATGTATAGATAGGGTATCGTTAAAATCTATACATAATTTTGACAGATCCAGCAGGAATTAATTATTAAAGAAAAAACGAGATGAAAAATGGGACACCTATAATAAAAAAATATTTAAATCATTATCATGACATATATTTTTTTATTTTTTTTTATTATTATTTCTTAAAATTTGCATACCTTGGTCCGTACCTTTTTTGTGTTACAATCAAATATTTTTAGTATTTTATAGTGTGTCTTTCGCCTACTGGAAAACAACAAATCTAGACTATTTCTTATAAAATGAACATCAAATTGAAAGTCTTTTAATTGTCTGCATTATTAATTACAGTAACAAGTGGTTTATGGTAACTAAAATAAAACACATGGACGTTCGGAGATACGTGGTTCACGAATCTTGAAAATACCGCATCAATTGTTGTACCATACCTCGTTGTCCCCATTGCTCTATCAGAAACAATATCTAAATTCAGTTCAGATTTAAAAAAAAATATTAATGTCACTCCGTCATCTTTGTTTGTTAAAGTTGCGCGACATAGGATGCGCACCAAAAACGTAACGAGGTCATTCATCGATAGATTTTACTCCTCACATTTTTCTCATACCGGGCCCCTTATATAGGGTTTTTCAACAAGAACTTTGTTTTCTAAAACAAGATAAAACAAAAAATTTAGATGAAGATGATTAATTTTTTATTGAATTACAAAGAGAAAAGTTCGGCATTTATGAATGAAAAATGATATCTTGCAAATGTCCACCACGAGCACGCTGACATATGTCGATTCTTTCATCAAAGTTTTTAATCACTGTTTGGCAAAATGGCGGGACTATTTCGTTAATCACATCACGGATTTTGAGTTTTAAGGCTGCAATCGATTCGATTGTCCCCGTATATACT